GCCGGTGAGATTTGAACAGCCGAACTGCAGAACTGCAGTCAGCTGAAGTAGCCTGCAGTGCTGCATTTAACCACTGCGCCACCTCGGCTCTGAGCTGCATCAACAGAGGGTTTGTATCAAGAACAAGGGAAGTTAAAATACCACTCTATACTGCAGTGTCGAGGCCACATTTGGAATTCTGCATCCAGCTTTGGTCACCATAATAATAATAAAAATGCCGAGACCCTAGAAAGAGTGCAGAAAAGAGCAACAAAGATGATAAGGGCCTAAATTCTACAACGGGAGTTACCAACTCCCAATCTGTGGATCAGCATCAGGCTGTGGCATGTCAGAAACCAATCTATGCAAAGAAGCAAAGCCCCATCTGTGGGATGCAGGCAGCACATGAAACCACACCCTCTCCGCTCTTTGGAAAAACCTTTATCTGGTTCCTGGTGCCCAAAAGGTTGGGGGCTACTGCTCTAAGTTCTGTGAAAATGACTAAGAATGGAGATACAATTAGCTGGAGGGGTCCCTGGTGTTCTCTGAGCTTGGTTGTTTTCTTGCAGAAGTTTCCTTATCCAAACTAGATAACATCATCAGGACTAGGACTGATGACATTTCCTAGTTTGGGTAATAAAACCTGTGTATGAAAACAATCAAGTTCAGAGAGCACCAAGGGCTCATTTCAATCCTGAACTACAATTTTTCTTCTTATTTGAACCACCTTCAGTGCTAGTTGGCAGTGGGGTTTGCTCTCAGTTTATATTCTAGAGCATGAGTGTCAAACACAATCGCATCACATGACATATACTGTTTTTTCCTTTGTGAATCTGAGGTGAGCCTGGCCTGTATGTGATGGCCTGCGGGCCACCAGTTTGACACCCCTGATATAGAGGCTTGCCCTGTCAGTGTTTCAACACTGAGCTACAAACAATGTTTAGCTTAATGAAGAGAAGATTGAAAGGGAACAAGATAGCAGTATTCCAACACTTGAAGGGCTGCAGAAAAGAGGGTGGGATGAGAGTGGTTTATCTATTCTCTATTGCACCTGAGGATAGGATAGCATAAGAAGTGATGAGTGAAGTTTATTACAGGAAGATCCAACCTGGAAATAAGGAAGAATTTCTCATAGTGATAACTATTAAGTAGCTTCTTTCTCAAAGTTGTGGATGCTTAATCACTGGAGGTTTTTAAGAAAAGATGGGACAATTATTTGTCTGAGATGGTATGAGGACATCTTCAGGGTCCCTTCCAACCCTATGATTCTTTGAAAAACCACACTTATTTGGATTGTTGACAAATATAAAGTAGGCATATAAAAGGTATGAAATCAGATACTCTATACTTATATATTTAATACACATGTTATACTGTACATTTTATAACTATATTTTATATAATAATCATGTATCTAATCAGATTGGTAAGATGCTCCTTGGGAAAAGCATTCCATTGCCAAAATGCTATTACAGGGTAATCCTCACTCTCAATCCCTAGTTGACTCTGCTGCATCTTTAAAGATAGATAATTTATAATAACACTTGCAATATTCAGGCAGTATTGTATGAAAAACTGTTCCTTTATTAACCTCTTCTTTGCTCTCTCTTTTTAGATGATTTTTATCAGCTGTGCAACATAGTAAATGAGGCTGGACTTCGAGAAAGGCCCAGCTATGAGTATGGATCAAATCAGGACAGTCATCAATATGAGCTTTACATCCCAGATCTGGAGCCCTATTTGAATCGCTTGGATGAGGATGGAGTAGCTGATACCAACAGAGAGGAAAGCAATGCATTTCAGGATAGTGCAACATCACAAAGACAACAGATCCACCCAGATCAGACACAGCCTCACTACATGCCTGAGCACGTTGGTAATTGTCAGGGAAAAATAAATAAAAGCTCAGTTATGCTTAGGTATATACTACTAGTATATTACTCCAATTGTAGGCATTTCAACCTTCAATCCCATCTCCTGCTTTTTAAAGAACAGGTCCAGAGATTCACCAAAAATGCAGGAAAATCTTGGTTTCAGCCAAGTGCTCAAGCCAGATTCTTCCAACATCCAGAGAGAAGTTCTGTAATAGCTAATTCCACAGAGCCAGCTGTGCTAATCCAAATTAAGAGATTATGTATATCACTCACAGGATCATACAGTTGGAAACCTCTCTGATTTCTTCTTGTAATCATTTTATGTGCAAGTATTCTTAATTGGATTAAAGAAAGAGTAAGTGCCAGGAGGGCCAATGGAAAGAAAATGTCTTTTTCTGTTTGGTTTTAGTGTGCATATGTGTGTGTGTGCAGCAGGGGTGGGTTCCTGCCAGTTCTAACCTCTTCCATAGGAGAGGTTCCACAAATCTACAATGCCGTTTAGAACTGGTTCCAGCTCCCTCCCCCCGCCCATCCGCACATCATCAAGATGAAGAACGAGGAGGAATTCTGGGACTTGAAGTCCACAAGTCTTAAAGTTGTCAAGTTTGAACACCCCCGGGGATTTTTTTCTAAAGAATTAGGGGTGCAAGGGTCTTGTAACTTGACAGCTTTAAGACTTGCACACTTCAATGCCAGAGTTCCTGAGCCAACATGACTGGAGGAGGAATTCTGGGAGTTGAAGTCCACAAGTCTTAAAGCTGTCAAGTTTGAACACCCCCAGGGATTTTTTTTCTAAAGAGTTAGGGGTGCAAGGGTCTTGATAGCCTTAAGACTTGCGTGCTTCAATGCCAGAGTTCCTGAGCCAACATTTTGGTTGCTAAGCAAGTGTGTTGTTAAGTGAGTTTCACCACATTTTACAAGTTGACCATGCCCACCCAGTCACATGACTGCCAAGTCACTCCCACTCGGTCACATGGCTGGCAAGCCACTCTCACAAAGTAGGCCACACCTACAAAAGAGGTTCTAAAAAAATTTGAAACCCACCACTGGTGTGCGCGCGTGTGTGCGCACATATACACATACATTTGAAAGAACCATTTTGGCATTTTTCTTTCTACAAGATTATTCCATATTGTTTTTTTAATATATATTTCATCTTTCAGAACAGTACAGCAGCTTTGAAGGGCTACAAGCAGAAGAGTGTGGAATTGTTAATGGCTGTGAAAATGGACGCTGTGTGCGTGTGCAGGAAGGCTACACTTGTGATTGCTTTGATGGCTTCCAGTTGGATTTGAAGCTCATGACATGTGTCGGTAAGTACCATACTGTAGTTCCATGGAAGAAAATATGGTAGATCTTGCCAAAAACAGTAAAGTGCCCCAAAAGCCCGAGTTACTAATGCATCCTTTTAAAATGTTGTTAAAAATAATTTTAATTGTTGAAGAGGTTTTTAGTGGGTTTGTTGCCATTGTTACTATGCTAAAAACAAGCAAACTGCATTATCACTTAGTGTGTATATAAGCCAGTCCACAGAAGGAGGTCTAACTAGGATTACAATTGAGCATTAGTGATCATGAATCAGGAATGAAAGAGCTGTGTTCATTTGCAGAAAGAACTGACTCATGGAAGATTTCAGTGCTTTAGTACTGAAAATTTCTTAAAGCATATTCTGTCAATAGCTTTTATACAAGCTGTCTATAAACACCACTGCCTGAATATGTCAACCCATCAGTCCTAAGGACATATTTTAAAGGAACTCTAGAACTAACCATATTATGACTGTTTATGTAGTACTGTATCTTGTTTATTGAATATTTATAATTGCTATTACCTCTTATTTAGCCAGTTGAGACTTCAAATAAAAATGCTTCTTTATATGGTAGGTCAGCTCAGCACAGAATGATTGGTGGCTGTAAAACCCAGGTGTATTTGTCAGTTCCATCTCACTCAGGAGTGTTTTGCTGGAGAGTTCATGCTCTTACCAAATTATTTGAAGGCACAATTCAAAGTTTAGAAGAGCTCTACTTCCTTCTAGTAAAGTCTTTATGCAATATGAGGTTAATTCAGAAAGCAAGTATCTCACACTGTAAAATGAATATTTGAATCCTGATCTTTTGAATCACTTTTGAATCACTTTCAGTTTAAATGAGATACAAAGAACAGCCATGATATATTCAATGTAGGTATGACCTGATAAACTAAAAGGGGTGTGAGAAAGGTTCTGTGTTGTTGAATCTGAATAGCATTCCTTTTTTCCCCTGTCCCCATCAGATATCAACGAGTGTGAAGCAGCAAATGCCTCCATGATTCTTTGTAAAGGTAATGCCTGTGAAAACACAGAGGGCTCCTATCGCTGCACTTGCTCACCTGGCAGTGCAGCTTTAGTGGAGCCTCACTGCATTCCAGAGACTACACAAAATCCAGAGGCGGCATAATTCCAAAAGATGAGTTAAAGAGGAGGCAATGTTTTCAGCTATTTGCTTCAAGAACTGGAAATCTGTGCAGCTGGACAAGTGTTTCAGGGAACTCAGCAGTTTTGAAACATTTTATTTCCCAGAAAGCAAAGACTCAACATGTGGATCTGTCCAATTACAGCATTTCTGCCAGTGTAAACACTCAGGGCCCAATCTTCATATACTGTATGTGCATTGGAAAAACCATCACACCATTTTTATCAGAGATTTTTGGCCTTGTTACTAATTTGCATTGGATAGATCAGCAGTACACTCTTTCTTTCCTGTTCATCTTTTGTTTCTCTGTTTATATCATAGGTGACAAATTTGTGCCCCCTGAATTATTCTCACAACGCTTTATTGTACCAATTTGTCTTACAATGTCATCTTACATTTCTTTACCATTCATAGAATGCTGCTTCCTAAATTTACTTATAATCCTTACTCTAGCCTTTTCAGCTTTGTGTACAAAATGGGTATGTCTGCCTCACAGCTACTAATGCATTATGTCCTCTTTATAGCACGACTGAAGGAAATTCACATTCCACAGATAACAGACATTTGGCGTTCAATTGAATCCAGCCAAAAATCTATATAACCTTCCCTTAAAGTTATATTAGCAAAACAAAAGACACAGTACCCTACATCCAAGCCCAGAACATATTTTGCCCTGCAGTTAGAGCAACTATTTATAATTTGATTGTGGCTTGGACTTCATTGGCCTTTTGGGGGCTTTCTGTTCACAACTACATCCAACTGCACCTTCTGTGATTGCTGAAATGTTACTTTGGGAAGTGGGAAAGGTTATAGCTCTTTAGATTTAAAAGGAATGTAGAGTTTTCCATTGGGAAAAAATACAACATGTTAAATAAATGGTTTTTTTAAAAAAATTGTGCCTAATAGGGCTGGTCATATATCTTTCTACCTTCTCTTTCTGAGCTGGAAATTCTTGGGAAGAACCAAATTAATTAGCAGATCCTATTGATTCAACAAGTAGAAGACAGATGGCTAGTTGGGAAAAAATACTTCTACAGATTGAGCAAATTAAAACATTTTATATATGACAGTATAGCTTTCAGTCCTGCAGGATCCTCCAGCAGTATCCATCATTCACATATGTAAGATACTCTTTAGAGTATTAAGAGACTATACCAGAGGGGGTATTCAGCAGGTTCTGACCAGTTCTGGGGAACCAATAGCGGAAATTTCGAGCAGTTCAGAGAACTGGTAAATACCACCTCTGACTGGGTCCGCCCCCATCTATTCTCTGCTTCCAGAGTCCCAGCTGATCGGGAGGAAATGGGGATTTTGCAGTATAACCTTCCCCTGGAGTTGGGAGGGAATGGAGATTTTACAGTATCCTTCCCCTGCCATGCCCAGCAAGCCACGCCATGCCCACCAAGCAAACCCACAGAACCGCTGGTAAAAAAATAATAATCCCACCCCTGGACTTTACTTAGCTAACTACAACTGGTACCAAAAAACTAAGTAGGGCTATTCTTGCATGGAAGATCAATCTAATTTTTCAGGGTTATAAGCTTGATTGAAAAATTGAAAGAATGTACAAACCATTTCTATATTGTTGCCAACTACATGGATATGTTCGTGTAATTACTTGAGTCACCTTGAAGGAATCTTTTTATCATAAGCAAATATTTTCACTATCATCAAAAAAAAGAGAGAAAACTTAATTCTGCTGATTTATTAGAAACAGTTACAAAAGCTGACTGCATTTAGGAATACACCCCACAGCAACTTTAAATGACTTACAAGATAGTGCAAAATGATTAACACAAATTATTTCTGCATAGAGATCAAGTGCCATTTGGTTTGGCATCTACAGAATTAGTCACAAAAGGTGGCTATCCTGTCTTGTTTTGGCTCCAGGTGGCAACTGCAATTGTAAAAAATAGTTTAGATTATGATATAAAGAGGAAGGGGGGAGGGAAGCAGATGGAAATTTGCAGCCAGCATCTGACCACAAGAGGCACTGAAAAGATAGAAACACAGTAATCAATTTTGCTGGGCCAGGGATTGTTTTAGAAGACATTTTTGTGGTAGGTATTCTATACCAAGCAATTCAATTATAACAAACATTGCCCTGAGTTACAGCAAGATATCCACCAACCCACTGTTTATTCTAGCTTTATCCATTTTGTTCTTCATCTAGACTATGTCTCTGAGAACAATTATTGCACAGATACTATAGGATAAACAGGAAATGCGTTGTGTAGCAAAATATTTTACTTGTCTTTATCAAACCCCACGTTCCATCCTCTGTAACCCTTGAGGGCTAAATGGCTTTTTTAACCGGTAATTTCAACCGGAATCTTCCAGCAAAATAGCAGTCCTTCTTGGTCATCAAATAATTGCCACTTGACAATAAGTTTAATCTAGAAAAAAAAAGAAAGTAATGAAAATAATTGATCTCAGATATTAACATTTGGGGTTATTGGAAGAAAAAATTGCAAAATGCTGCATGTGAATTTAACTTGAACTTGAAATAGGTTTCATATCTTTCTCATGTATGTTTGAAAGTAGGGATCATACTCATAACTCCCTTGCCAACATGGCAAATTTCTTTCTCTGAATAAATTTATGTTGTTGAATATTTGTTAGAATTGTTACATTTTGCATCCCTTATTCTGAGGGATAAAACAACTGAGATAATTATTTTGTGACGTTTGAAGCCACATTTCCATATACACAATATAATGAGCTGTATTACAGAGACCGTATCATTTGACTGCAGAGGGCAGCTATAGCTGAACATGTTATAGAAACAATTCCTTGTTCTAATTGAGGTCTCCTCCCAATATGCTGATATTCTAAACGTGGAAAGGTTTCACAGAAAGAAGCATTGTATGAAATCTTCCACAATCTGTGTAATTTAGAAATGATACTTTCACAAAGTTAGGCAAATATGTGAGCTAATGGTCTTTCCCTGGAGAATGGAACCCTGTCTCTGGAGACTTAAACATCCCCATTGCAAAAGCAGCCAAAGTAGGACCAAGTGGTCAATTATGAGCATCCTATTTCATAAATGACATGAAGAACCATGAAAAGTAGCTCAGAGATCAGTTTACTAAGAAACTCACAGATGGGTACTCGCTCTTTACTGGCAGCTTGTTCAAGTAGCTGTAAGAATGACCATTGACGATAGGGCACTTGATCCCACTCTTGCATCCATCAGGCTCTTCAAGTGGGAAAGGAACGTCTACGAACATCACTTCTCCAAACACCTTTGCTGTGCTGCCTTGGCTTTCAATTTCTGAAGAAGAAAAATGAGATTAATCTTAAGAGGACAAGGAATGGAGACTACCACACTGCATTTCACAATAAGGAAGTGTTCACAATGTTCCATGTCCGGTTTTTCTCCTTTCCTATCCATTAATCCAACTGCTTTATAATTTATAGCACTGCAGATCAGTAAGTCTGATGATGAATTTTCTGCTTTACTTCCCTTTTCTGAGGTTCTTACAGAGAAAACACTTCCATAAATAAAACCCACTGCATATAAAACTGTGGTTGTTCTCATTTTGTACTGTGCATATACTAGAAAATCACAGCCATTTGCAATTTTCCCGAGCATATATAAAACAACAAAAGAAACATTGAAAATCATGTTCTACATAGATTTGTCATGGGTTTTTGTCCATGGACTCCATTAAAACTATGCATAGCTGATTGCTAATAATGATTCTCAGTGAAATTGTTTCATATAAAACTGCTTTTATATAACTATTCTAAATGAATGCATTTATGTGTAGGACATTTGGAATAATGAAAATAACCTCATTATCAATGTTGAAAACATTCTGAAAAAGTTTCAGAAGTTTAGGAAATTAATCTTGTGCTTCAAAATGAATAGATTATACTTACTACTGGAAAATGTCACATTGACGCTGTAAGACACTCCTTTGTGGAGAAGGCAAGGTAGGGTAGGACAAGGAGTAATATTAACCTCCAAAATACTTCCATCTTTGGAACCTGTGCAGAAAGAATGGAACCACATAATTTTGGAGCAACCCTCAAATTCCACAATAATAGACACGGCCTTGCAAGTATTTATATATTCATATATAGTGTCATCTGTCTTTTATTGATGTGCTTATCACTTTAAGAGACAGGAAGAATCATAAGCAGTGCAGAAACAACAAGAATCAGGAGGCAATGGATAAAAAATGATTCAAAATTGTACCCAGTCACATCTAGTTATGTGAGAATGAATCATGACCAGCAAGAGATAAAGGTTAAGGAGAATAACACAAACACTATAGTGATTTAAACCTCAAAACACCTCCATGAGTAAAATCAACAAGGGCAAATACAGGGTGTCTTCGACTCACAATTGGGACCAGAATTTCTATTGCTATTCATATATAACTTGTATTATTTTATCAATGTATACAATGCAAATAAAAATAGGCAATTAAAGGAAGGAAATAGAAAAGGGGAAAGAAAATATGAGGTACAAAGGAAGGAAGAAAAGGTATTCTATTCAAAGAGGAGAATATATGTTTTTTATTTGGATATCACTTCTGGTTTGGTGCTTGTGATGAAAAAATATATATGAAACGCTGATTTTGGTCTTGCCAATTAGATAGATTTGTTGTGACAGAAATGGCTAGTTATATATTGATGCAGGGGTCTCCAATCTTGGCAACTTTAAGCCTGGAGGACTTCCAACTCCCAGAATTCCCCAGGCTGACCCCTGTACTAATGTGTAAAAGTAAAAAGTTGAGGTTGTAATGTTGTTATCTTATACTGTGTTACAAAGAATCGGATGTTGACGACTTTTTCTTTCTTCCCTTGTACCTCATATTTTCGTTCCCCCTTTCTTTTTTCCTTCCTTTGATTTCGTATTTTTATTTTTCCTTGTATTTTATACACAAGAGTTTCTATTGCTAAGCAAGGTGGTTGTTAAGTGTGTTGGACCCAATTTTGCGACCTTTTATGCCATGGTTGTTAAGTGAATCCAGCTTCTTCCTTTTCACTTTGCTTGCTGGGAGCTAGCGGGGAAGGTTGCAAATGGTGATCACATGACCCCATCATGCTGCAGCCATCATAAATACCTACCAGTTTACAAGTACCCGAATTTGGATTACATGACTATGGGGGATGCTGTGACAATTGTAAATGTGAGGACTAGTTATAAGTAATTTTCAGTGCTGTTCTAACTTTGAATGATCATTAAATAAATGGCGATAAGTCGAGGTCTAGCTGTACCAGGGGATCTGGCTTGCGGGGCTGCCCTAGAAATGGCAAAGGACCGACCCATGGTGCCTCTGCCAGCAAAAATGGTACTTGGGACGGCTGCATGTGGCCCTCCCAGGCTCCATTTTTAGCTGTGATGGCCTCCTACTACCCCCTGCCAGTGAAAATGGAACTCCGATGGGGAAGTGCACCCCAGCTCCATTTTCACTGGCAGAGGGTGGCAGGAGGCCGTCGCAGCTGAAAATGGAACTTTGGAGTCTGTTTTCACTGGCAGAGTGCTCGGGCCACCACAGACACCCCCAACACGAGTGACATCAAACTGGCCACGCCCCCTTGCCCCCACCGCACCCGAGGTCAAACACAACCCTGATCAAGTTTGACACCCCTGATCTATACTGATTTCATACGGGTATGGTTTTTACATACCCATATAAGTTGTTAGCCGCCCTGAGTCCCCTCAGGGAAAAGGGCGGCCTATAAATAAACTTATTCTAATTCTAATTCTAATTCTACATATAGTATTTACAGATTAGTGATATGAAATTGGGATATTAATCTTCAGGTTTCTTGGACAATTTCTTAAATATTACCTTGCTTTTGTGCAAACAGTGTTTCCCTGTTTTCATCATGTCAACTCAACAAATTAAGTAATTTCAAGCTTGTTAAAATATGC